TTGTCGAAATTTTTTCTTTTCTTGGGGTTTATTCGAACACAATTATTTGGATACGCCTTTTCTGTCGGTGGTAATGCAATGACGTGATTCGAATTATTTCTTAATAAACTAAACATGTGATATAAACATGTGACTTTCTTCCCAAACGATTCATCTTTCAAGCAGTTTCTGTTATAATGAAAGGGTCACCACCTAATGAAGTTATAAACCTGATATGTCTGAATGACGAATAACTTAAAATTTGGGCAAGCATTAGATATAATGGAATAGTAGTGATCTGGAATAAAGATGCATGTCTTTTTAGTGACACCAAAGTCCTAGTCGTTTGTTAAAAAAAAGTGGCGCCGAACTGGAAAGTAATGCTTAACTTTACGAAAACGTTGATTGTCTGTTAATGCCATTAAAAATTTTAGGACAGTATGGTTTTTGTTCTGTCCAGGGCAGTTATCGGAGAACAAAAATAATTCTTCTATATTTCCTTCCAAAAAATTATCGATGTAGTGCAGCAACATTGAACATATTGCATTACCTCCATTGTTTGCTACACCTTCATGAAATACATAAAATAGACCCAAAGCTGCCGCAAATAAAATATTTCTTGGATTGGGATGTGTGGTAGCGGCAAGTTTTGCATAAAATCAAAAGTAAGTGCTGCAATGTCAACCCTAGATTTACATAATTTTCGACTTTCTGATATCTTGTTGTGGAACTTCTTGGCTCTCCTTCTGTGTACAGTTAACTCGGCTTCAGCTGCTGTGGACTTTTTATTTTGATAATTAGCTCTTCACATGTAATACAAGTATCAACTTGAGGTCTATCAAACCGTGGCGAAAAATTGTCCCTTGAAACATTGGGCATAAAATTGATATTTCACGTTTAGGTTTGGATATTTGGACTTAAATAGCAAAAACATTGTTTTTATATCTAATCTTGCAGAACGATATTGAATATTTCGCCCAGAATAATGCATTTGCTTTGTTGGAAAAGACAAAATGTGGTCGTGGATTTTTTAGCACTTCGGAAGGCGTTGTATTTTCCTTTGGATGCTTACCACGCATATCATGTGGTGTAAGAGACTGTGATTGTAAGATACATAGACGTCTCACCCGTCCTTGAGTTATACCATAAATGGAAACAAATGTCTTTTTGCATACAACTTGTTTTTATGCTGGGCAAACTGCTGTAGATAAATGTCATGCTCGTCTTTTCTAATATACCCGTTAATTTTTGGTGAGCAAAAGTTTAAATCTTCTTCTGAAAATGCTCAAAAGCATTGGTTTTTGCAACTAAAAAAAAAATTCTTACTAAGTGGAACAAATAATCTTTTTGAATGACTTGCAATCCGGACCTGTTGTACGTGGTAATTTATTTATTTATTTATCTCTTGTGTGTGCAGAAACAGGTCGAACCCAATAACATTGTACCACAAACAACCAGTTGTATACAAATAAAATTACAGTTTACAATAATAATAATCAATTAATATTAATGGTATAAAAGTGAATCAAAAGGAAAAGCCTAAAACTAAGTCTAGGTGATATAAATATATATAAAATGAACGCTCGAGGCAACACACTAATTGCAGCAAAGAGCAGTTTTTTAAATGCATAGAAAGAATGGTGAAACAGATCTATGTTAACACGATTTGCGGATCTTGCCATTCTCAATAAAGGAGAGTTTTGACAGGTATTGGTTTTAAGAGTAGGTGTTATAAATAGAAAGTCAAAGCGAAGTAATCTTGAAGAAATATGAACACATATAGAACCAATAAGCATTGGAGAATCACGCTTGTTCAAAAGTTTATAAAAATATAACATATCCCCATAAAAGCGACGCTGGTTGAGGGTTAAGTTGATTTGTAATCAATGTATTGAACGGAAAATTTAAAACAAAGGTATTTGAGGAATTTACATTGAATGCGCTCAATTCTAGATTTATACGAGTGATGCTGAGGATTCCAAACGATGCTGCAAAATACAGATTTCTAATTGCATCAATGTTAGAAAAAGCTACCGTGTATCTCATAATATATCCTAACATACGCTAGGCTTTGGAGACAACAGCATCAATATGTTTATCAAATAATAATTTATAATCAAATGTAACACCCAAATCTCTAATAAATGAGACACGTTGCAACCTCTCACTAGCGACGCTATAATTGTAGTGGATTGTGTTCACCTTTCTATAGAGAAGGAAATAACATTACTCTCTGATAAGTTTAATGAAAGGCGATTATTTAACCAAAAAGCATGTAGATTGTTTAAGTCAGATTGCAGTCTAGAACAATCAAGAGGTGAGGAGATATGGCGAAAGAATTTTCAATCGTCAAAGATGTCCTTAACAGAAATATTAAACAGTAAAGGGCCTAGATGGATACCCTGTGGAACACCAGAAGAAGCCGACACAGGATTAGCAAAAAAAACTATTAACCGAAACAATCTGGCATCTCTCCTTCCGATAAGAAGCAAGCCATTGCAAAAGTTTCCCCTGAACACGAAACTTCATTAGTTTAAACAGAAGTAAGTTGTGATCCATCTGGTCGAAAGATTTACTAAAATCCGTATCAACTGAATTAACTTGACAAGAATCATCCAGAGAAGATAAGATATACTGAATATATTCAAGCAAGTTACTCTTAACCGAGCGACCAGCAAAAAAAACCATGTTGTCTACAATTGATTTTAGACTTAAGGGCAAAAAATAAACGTGCATGAACTACTTTCTCAAAAAGTTTCCCAAATGCTGGCAAAACAGATATGGGGCGGTAATCAGATATAACATCCAAGATTTAAAGATGGGAAGAACAAAAGCCCGCTTCCACAATGATGGAAAGACACCCATTATTAATGAAGCATTAAAGAAAATAGTTAAAGGAAATGACAGAGAGTGTGAACATTCCTTGATTAAAATTGATGGAATACCATCAGTACCAATACTGTCTGTAACCCTGACGCCCATCAGGGCCTCCCCAACCTCAATTCTGTCAAACTGCATCTGATTCAAAGGAAGGGCATCCATTTCCACACAATTAATATTCTGCTGGATTGGAGCAGGATCAACAAAAACCGAAGAAAAGAAATCAGCGAATAATGAGCATACTTCGATACCGTCACCGACAACAGTTCCGCTCCATGACATCGTAGAAGGAATGACATCCGCATGCTTCTTATATTTATTAAAAGCCCAAAACACCTTTGGGTCAGATTGGATATTACTTTCAGCTCTTCCAACATAGTCCATGTAATTGTGATGGATTAGATACTTTGCATGACTCCTTAAAATTGAAAAAGTGATAATATTATGTTTCCTTTCACTTTATCAAATTTTATAACATTTCTCTTATAAATATTAGGATTTTTTTGTCTCTTCTTTCGTGGCTCAGGATTATCACTCTTTATCGCTAGAATTAGACATATTAAACTCGTATTTGAGAAACGTCTCGTACAAAATCTCGTTCTCGGTAAACAAACACAAAGGAAATGGCAAAAGTAGCGTGATGCCATATGACCGACTGACAATTCCCCTCCATGCCTGCTCTGTATACAAAAGCGTGCGGAGCAAGAACTACATAAGTCAAAGAATTATGATGTTTTCCAACGAACATAGGATAGTTTGCGACATTTCTGTTAGTTTAAATGGGATTTATATCATTTATATATGGAACGTGTGCCTTCTAATGTAGAGGGGTTTCGTGATAAAAGGTGATTTTCGAAAAAAAAGTGACATGTCGTTTTTGAAACGAACGCTTCTTATGGTCTCGGAGTTTTGTCCGTATCCTATTACAAAGTTATGACGCAGTAAACATTTACATAAGGTAATTATAATCGGATATTGTAGGTTTTTGTGGACAAATGCTTGTGTAACAATGCGATTTACTAAAGTTATACACCACTGCATAGAGCGGAAAACTTCTGTTAAATTCTATATGATCTCGAAATTTTGTCTGGTCATATAAGAAAGTTTACAAATAATTTACATACAATAATTATAAGTCTTGTAATTTTTGGGGGGAGAATGCTTGTATAACCATGCAATCTACTAAAGTTATATACCATTTGTATGGAACGGAAAATTTCCTATATGATTGATACCGCTTCAGTTTTTTGTTCCTTCCAAATAAAAGAGTTATGTTAAGAAAGGTCAATCTACCGATTCTATGAGTAGGGTTATTTATTAGGCGTGTTTTTTGGCCGACGCCGATAGATATTGACGGACAAACCCCGGATTTAGATAGCACAAAGTGTGTTCTTTTCGAATTGATAAAGCTTTTTTATATTCGGTTCCATAACGGCTGCACACGGGCTTAAAGTTTGATAATTTTGAGGTGTATTCGGTGTACACGACGATGTTCTTTATTTTTTCTGCTGTTGATATCATGATATTGACAGGACAAAATTCTAGGACAGATTTTAGATGAAGAAAAGATCATGCTTTCTAGTGGCGTATTAAATATTTCGCTATCTCTAAAGACAACGAAGATATAGTCATATAATATATGCCTCTATTATATTATAATAGATGGGAAAACAAGAGTAAAAGTTTGTTCTTTTCAAATTTTAACATGAAATATTATCGCATGATTTCTTGTTAGATTTTATCATGGTAATAACAGGTGTTCAATCATTCATGTCGTTCTCGTTTCATGAATGTATTTGTCCACATTTGAAATGTGCCGTTTGTAATATCGCATTCTTCAGTTATGCGTCAAAAAATTCTTGTTAAAAAAATGCGGTCGATTCGAAGTTTCGCTAAAAATCGTAACGTGTGTTTCGACGCAGCCGAGATACAACTGACGTGGTAGCGTCGAAATAAAAATCAAAAAGCGAGTGACAGTGTGAGCGAAAAACAGGGATGTGGCGGGAATACGGGTAACGTCACATGCTGGTTTTATCACGGCACAGATAAGCGCCCCTTCGATATTTCACGTTCACTGGAGGCCTGTCGACGTGCACGACGTTTGAACCGTTAAAAATTTATGAAAATGCCGCAGCACTTACGATTTCCCGCGTATTTTTCATCTGGACGCTGCCTTTCCACCAAGTAATCGTGGGCTTTGGCTTCGCACCAACCACTTCACAACTCAACTCATAGGTACTATCGGCTGATAATGGTTTGTTGACTCCGATCAATTTTACCCATAATGGACGAACTGAAACATAATAAAAATAAATTGTGTTAGTGCGAATTATTTTTGGACAGGATGAGCAAAGCTCGTTTATCGGCAACAGTAGGGACGCGTTGAGATAAATTAAAGCTCCGTAATTAATGTAAACGAGGCAACGACGCACGCAACAAGTTCCGTTATCACTCTTCCGACACTGACGTGAAACTTTAGCGACAAGACATCCCGAGGCCAGCGTTTGGCTGTCTAAATGCCGACCTTATCGGCGCCCTTATAAATTACCCGTTGTCATGTCGGGCAGTTAAATAATTTGCTGACGCGCCTTTAATTTCGCAAGAGGCAATCATTCAGATGTAAAAAAAAGAACTACTATATTGGTGGGAAACCAATTATTTCTGTTTCAAAGCAATAAGCATCTTATGGAATTGCTTGGCTAATTAACAACTTGGTTAATTAGTTGGAAAGAAATCGTTTATCGATTATGTCTTTGTGATGTATTTGAACGTTTTTTATCAATATCATTGTCATCCACAATTTTTAATGTTTGGGGTTTAAATTAAATACTGACACATAGAATGCCTGCGCAAAACTGCATAAGTTGTGATTAATCTTTAAACACTTAGCATTCGTAATTCTTACAACCGTGAAATGGATTTTTTGTCGTCTGCCTCAGTGTGTTGACCTTGAGCACTGAAAGCCGCAATACCCTCTTCCCTCCTACCCTCTATTAAGTCTGCTTTTGGCTGTTGCGCGGCGCATATCCATTTTTTCAAAATTGTCACGTAGTCGTATATTTTACGAATGTTTAGTAGTAGTGTTACATTTTTCTCGTACCAAAGATCGCAATTTAGTTTACAATGTCGTTATTTGTTACTTTTAAAGTATTAAAGTGTGTATAACATTGTTGTAATTATTGTGCAGTGTAAATGATCTAGTGATTACTTAAGAACCATGGCTTTACATTCCTCAGAAATCGATAAGTGTTTAGCTGAAACTGATAATGATGGCGAATCAGATTTTGAAGGAAGCAGCGGTAGCAAAAACGAAAATGACATTTTGGCCTATTCCGAATCTCAATATGAGCCGTCTGAGTGATGAAAGTGATGCTATCGCTGAGGAACTGAGAGGTTCTAAGAATTATACGAGGAAAAAATGGACATGCTTGGTCCACTACTCCACCAACATAGTTTTGAGACGACGCGACACAAAAGGCGCAGCAAAACTGATTTCAAAGCCTTAGGAAGCATTTCAATTATCTTTCAGTGTTGATTTAATTACAAAAATCGTCCAGCACACAAATTCAGAAATAGTACGTAGACAAGTTATGTATTCAAATATTACAGCTACTATCGCACCAACTACTTTGTTAAAAATAAAGGCTTTACTTGGTTTATTAGTTTTTTCTGCCCTTCACAACGAGCTGCCAGTACTGAATTACACTGTTGGAAAGAATTCACGAGCATACCCTGTATAATCTGAACGCATGTGTCTAGCGCAATGCAATTTGGTATGGAAGTAGTACTAAAGTACAATTGGTTCTTTCACAGTATTAGGAACAATTAGGAAAAACAAGAGAGAAATTCGGTTAATACTGAAATTCTACTTGACCACATATTTCAGTTAGCTTCATCACTTGTGTTGTACGCTTAGTGATTTCTGTTAGTGCCTTTTGTTTTGAACACTGTGAGTGCTGTTTCGAAAATACGTGCTCCAAAGAATCTTATCGAAGAGGAGATGTTGATGCTACTGGTTAATGATGGTCCAGAATTCGACGATTTTCTGCAAGAAGACAGCAACGAGGAAATTAATCATGTATCAGTTGATGAATTCGAGCATGATGAAATTTCTGATGATAGTTTAGAAGAAATTGATGGCGCAGCGAAAGATATAGCTAAAGATGGCATTGAATGGTCAAAACATCCAAAAAATATAAAAGTTAGGAAATCTCGAACAAATATATTGAATGTTACTCCTGGTCTAGTGGTGGCCTACACTTCTAGAATTTGTAGCATCAGAGATGCATTTTTGCTGTTTATTACGCCAGAAATTATAAATATTATTGTAACCGCAACAAACCGTAAGGCTACTGACTTCTACGAATGATGGAATTCTTTTAACCCTTTGAAACGAAGAACATATGTTCCAACAAGTAAAAATGAAATATTGGCCTATATTGGACTTTTACTTACAATTGGTGCTCTTAAAAGTAGTAAGGAATCTGTCGACGTGTTATGGTGTACTGATCCTGCCTACCGTAGAGCTATTATTTCAGCTACTATGTCTCGTAATCGTTATCACGAATTCACGTGATTTCTACGTTTTGATAATTTCGAATCTACAGAAGAATAAAGAGAAAACGACAAACTGCCTGCGATTAGAGAGATATTTGATATATTTGTTGCAAAATGTAAAATTAGCTGCAATCCAGATGGCCATATATGCGTGGATGAACAACTTGTTCCGTAACCTGCAAAATACAGGATCAAGATTTGGACCGTGGCAGACTGCGATTCTGCATACATAACAAATATGCAGGTACATCTGGGCAAGGCTATGTCTTACGTAAAATTATCTGATATGAATTGTGAGCATATTTTTTCAACCAAAAAAGAACCAAGGAGAGAGAGCGGTACCAGACTTAGTAAACCACTTACCGGTACCGACTTACCGGCAAGACATGGAATAACTACTGATCATTTTTTCACGAGCCTGTAATTGTCGGATAAACTTTGGCTTAAGGGAATTGCTTCGTAGACCATATAAACCTATAAATTCTTCTATGCTTGCATACAGAGACAATCGTACTCTGGTATCATACGTGCCAAAAAAATAGAGCAGTAATATTGCTATAAAGCCAACACACCGATAATAAGGCAGGAGGAGAAGATGAAGATTACAAGCCTGAAATTATATTGTCATACAACAAAACCAAAGGAGCTGTTGATGTAGGTGATCAGCTTGCTCAACAATATTCAACTCAAAGGAATACCAACAGATGGCCCATGGTCCTATTTTATCATATTCTGGATATAGCTGCCATCAATGCATTCAAGGTATGGATGTTCGGTAATCCCGGCTGGAAAGAGGATGATAAAGATGCACGAAGAAAATTTCTGTTGCAGTTAGGAAAGGACTTAGTAAAAGAAAACATCATTCGTCATTACAGCAACAAATATGGCCAAACAAACAAGGCCAACTAAAAAAACTTATGATACAAGTTGTACCAGAAGTACAAAGTAACCAATCCACTATAAATACAACAGCAACTACAACAAAAGTAGTTGTAACACCAGACCGTTGTTATTTCGGCTTCTGAAAACGTGACAGAAAGAACACATGTACTCTGTGCAAAAAGTGCTGAATATTCCTCAAACAAACCGTTTTGTCAATATTATAATGTTTAACTTGTTAAATGTTTGTGTTTGTCATATAACAGTTCAGTGTCCTTGCAATAACAAACAATTGCTATTTTAATTTGTTTTAGGCCTTCAACCATTGGAGTGCAAATACACCCCACCTGGTAGTTATCTTAAGAAAAATAGGTTGGGAGGATGAGGGTTAATGATTTATGAGAAGTTTCTATTTCTCTTTACGCCTCTTCTATGGCTACTAATTAAGTTTAAGGTTGGAGAAATTTAATATAAATGTAAGATAATATCAAAATGAAATAAGAAAAAAATGCGTACAGGAATCGCGAAACTGAGTGAACAAAGTTTGCTAACGTCGCTAGATAAGAAACTTGGTTGGGAGTGGATAGTTTATCGGATTTTTTACGATCGAACGGGGCAAACTAACGACGGCTTAGTTCGAGGCCCTTCTGCCAATTTGTCTAAAACTAAGTTGCGGGTTTTATCGGACGGGGCCGAGTTTTATACCGCCTGCTGTGCGAATTTTGAACGTTTATGAGCCGGGAAAATTTGTTTTGGGTCTGGACGGGATTTCCAATAAATTCTTACGACATTCTTAAAGGACTTTGACTCTGTGACAATTGAAAATCAATACGCGACTTTATCATATATTCATCGGCCGCGGATGTTCTATTATGTCTAAAAGTGAACGTGGAAAATAGAATTCTTCTTGGAATTTCGCATGGTAAATATTCGGCAAATGTGACAAAATGAAATATTGCCCTTTCTCGGTACAGAAACTACGACGCCACATCGAGGCGGAGCGCGCAACTAATGAAAACGTCTTTAACCCAGTTCGGGCAATACATTATTCTGCGCAGCTCGAAAAACTCCACAGTCATCCAACGAAGGGCTCTTTCAGGATAATACGTTGCTATCATGTCATCGATTTCCCGTCATTTCTGTCACTTTCGCCGAACCATTTTTAGACACATTAAATATGACGAACATTTGTATAAATCCTGCTTCTCTTTGAATGGAACCGGTCATTACTGAAAATCTCTAGATGAGATTTTCAGCATATCCCCGATCACGTAATGTATGATATTCATATTTTCTTAAAACGATGTATGTATTTCGCACGTGACGCCGTAAATCTGCCAGACCATATCGGATTTTCCTTTCCTCCCTTCCATTACCCGAGGTTTTTGCGGTCTGCAGGAGGAAGGGGACGAGGTCAATCGTGGCGAAAGTGTATCTTCGCCCATAAAATATTTACGTTTAGACAAATTGCGATGATGTGTTTACGAGGGGATGTTTCAGGATCAACCGATATTATTTATGATCCTAACGTAAATATTTCAAAAGGGCGGCGAAATTAAAAACGCATTAGTTGCCTTTCGTACTTTTAAAGTTACCATTGAATAAATATTGATACTAATCGATAATTAGATGTACGAACGCCCCACACATAAATCATACGACAACACACATGACACTGTAATTGAGTCGTTGCGGTTGGTTTGTAACACTACATCATATTAGAACTAAATCAAAATTAACTGAATGGGTGTATACAATTTTGATTTAGGTATATATGGGATTCTATGTGTAAACACAGACTTTATTGAAAACTCGACTATCAACTAAAAATTGAATTTATTTTATATGCAATGTTTA